AAAGAGTCAAATTGCTAGAGAGGTTCCATCTCTGGGTCAGTGACACTATTCCTCACGGGCTATGTCACTAAAATAACCCAGTGTAAACACTTAGGACAGTGACTGGCATGTATAAAGGGCTATATAAGTATTTGTCAAAGAAAATAATTGCACAAGTAATTCATTATGATTATTTATGGGCTTTTTCTTCAGGGTTTGTATTATACCTTTTTTTGAAATAAAATTTTTATCTTATATTGGTTTACTTACACAGTTAGTGCACATTGTTTTTCACACCAATCTTTCCCATTTCCTTTACCCACCCCTCCTTTCACCCATCAAATTGTCCACCCTGTAGTTAACCGCCTCACCCCACCCCACCCATCCTCACCACTCTGTTCTCATCCCATGTCTTGGATCCTCATACATGTCTACAATCATGATCTTATACAGTATTGTCTTTAGGGGACTGAGTTAATTCACTCAACATAATGCTTTCCAGTCCCTCCCAAATTAGGCAGTGATTTATAAAATCACTGTTCCTGCATGCTGTGTAGTAATCCATTGTGTTTCTCAATCCATTCAATTGTGGTTGGACATTTCATGTTCTTGCTATGGTGAATAACACTGCTATGAATATTGGTGTACAAGTCTCCATTTGTGTCTTAGTTCTCATTTTCTTGGGATATTTTCTAAGCAGTGAAATAGCTGGGTCACATGGAATTTCCATGTTAAGCTTTCTGAAGAAATGCCAAACTGCTTTCTGATACTGCTTGTATCATTTTACAGTCCCACCAACAGTGTAAAGCGTTCCTATGTCACCACATCCTCTCCAACATTTATTAGTCGCTGTCCTGTAAAACTTTGCCACTGCTACTGGAATGAGATGGTATCTCATTGCAGCTTTGATTTGTATCTTTCTTATTGTCAGTGATTTGGAACATTTCTTTATGTGTCAGTTGGCTATTTTTGGGCTTTTGTAGTGATGGTCCTTCTCTCAGGACCTTTCCTTTCCCAACCCTCTCACCCAACAAAGCTTCATTCTTACTTGGATTATTTTTTAGATCTCCCTCCTGGACACACTGAAAACTGGTTTCAGGAGAGGGTCAGAGAAAGTGAAGAGGACCCGTCCAACAAGTTGGATTGACACAGTGTCTGTAAAAATGGGCTTAAGCATATCAGAGATCATGGAGATGGTGCAGGAATGGACAAGGGTTCAGATCTGTTGTTCCTGTGAGTCGTAATTGACCCAATAGTGTCTAACCACCACCACCACTGCCTTGTTGTTATTGTGGTTATTAGGTGCTGTTGAGTCGAGTATGACTCAAAGCGACTCTATGAACGTCATCACGTTTCCTGACACATTAGAACCCTTTGTGACAGTCACCATATCAATCCACTAGGGCACGGGTCTCCCTGTCCTTCGACAACCCTCCACCCTTCCAAGTATCATGTCCCTCTCCTAGCAACATACTGGAAGTATGTGAGGTGAAGCCCCATCATTCTTGCCTTCAAAAGCATTCTGGTTGTACCCTCTCCAAGAAAAAAACCAAAAACAAAACGCTATCCAAAACACACATAAAGTGCCAGTCTCATATTATATCATACCATGGCTACATGCCAGCAACCTGATTGATGACTTAACGTTGACCTTGATCATCTGGCTGAAGTCATATTTGGCAACTTTCTCCATGATAAAGGTTCTCCTCTTTGCCCCTTTTCACATTGCTCTCTTCAGAAGGAATGCACTGTGCACAGCTCAGCCGTAAGAAGTGGGGAGTTATGCCTCACTGCCTCACTAAGAGAAAAGTATCTGATTTATTTAGAATTCTGATTGCAAGAGTCAAAAAGATTGGACTCTTCTCCACAATATATTTATTTACTCAATTATTTCTTTATAGCCCTCTGAACACACGGGTGTTTATGCCATACTTTAGGTTATAATCCAAAACGACTGTATTTATTTTGTTGCTCAAATTGTTCCAGCTTTGAACCCTTTCATTAAACACACACTCATCTCTCTCGCGCGCTCTGTGTGTGTGTGTGTATATATATGTATATGTGTGTGTGTGTGTGTGTGTCTAGAACTTCCTTTCTGTTACTACACGATGCTCCAGGCTCCCCTTGTATGCATCCCGCCCCTATTCCAGAATCTTTTCCCAAGAAGCTCTAGTTCCTTTTATTAGATAATGGTATTAGAAACCAAGATCTAGGTGCTAGATGTGCTCATTGCTATTGGATGTTGTCATTTCTAGACCTTCTCAGTTGACTGAGCAAAGAAATATGCTGTGTGCCATCAAATCAATTCCAAATATGTATGTGTATACTAACCTCAGTATATACATATACCTATAAATAGGAAATCTTCTCCATCTATATTAAGCTAAACTCAAGTTTCATAATGCAGTTTCCCACTCTAATCCATTACTCATGGATCATTCTAGCTTCCTCCTCAAGGGTCAGTTTTATCATAAGCAATGTTGCCTAGTAACATAGTTGATACATGTTTATCTGTTTCCATGGAAACAGAGCTAGACAATAAGTCGAAGGTCAAATTTGTATGTGAAAGAGGACAAGATTTTGTTAACCCTTTGCCCACACCCTTCTGGGGCTCCCCACGGCTCTGAGGATAAAGGATGAACTTTCCCTGGTCCACAGTGCTCTGCCGCTGCGTGTCCCCGCTGGCGTGTCCAGCCTGAGATCCTACGATCTTCCTTACTGAGTTCTCCATGGGAACCGGAGCAGTATCCTTCAGTTCTCATGTTCACCAAACTCCCTTCCATCCTGAGGCCTTCGTACAGGCTAACTCACCGCTGAGCCTCTCCTCCCTGCTCTTTACCTGGCTGCCTCCTACTCACCTTTCTGAACAGAGCAAGCCTCTCTGTGATCCTTCTCACCTCCCAAATTAGGCCAGCGCCTCAGCTTCAGGCTCCTGTGGCACTAGGTACCTTCGCTTTGTAGCACTTAACACAATGGGAAATGTACTCAGCCTTTTCTCCCACTGTGGGCAGCTCTGGGGGTGTAGTCTCCAGCAAGGTGTGGGCCTAACCCAAAAGCAGTATCTCTCTAGCAGTTTAAATTCACCAGCTGTTCTTAGGAGAAAGATGAATAATCTCCTCCTGTGCAATTTACAGTCATAAGAAGCTGCGTTGTAATCCTGAGGCAAGTGGTTTGAATCCTGTTGTTTGACAGAAGCATGGGCAATCTCCTCCCTTTTACTGCCTCTGAAAATCCTGCTGGAGGATGAGCTATGACTCTTAACACAACAACATCACCCACCAGGGAGCTCTGGTGACCTAGTGGTAAGGAATTGTGATGTCAGCTCCGAGGCAGGAATCAGCCAGCGGCTGTGCGGTAGAGAGATGGACACTCTCCTGGGTGCTTAAGCGCCTCTGAAAACCCGCTGGCGGGTCAGCCAGTATGTCTCTCTGCTGCTCCCCACCCCACTAGAATATGAGTTCCTTGAGAGCAAGAATGGAGCTTATGAGTACCCAAGTACATAAATAATACTCAGTAATTATTTAGGGAGCTCCCTAAATCTATAGGAAGTTGTACTGCAAACCCCAAAGGGCACATCACACTGGCAGTTCAAATGCACCTGTGGCTCCAAGCGAGATTTTTGGGCAATCTCCTCCCATTGCATTTGGAATGGAAAGCCAACAGAAGGTTCTCACTTGCTGAAAGTGGATGGAGTTGATTTACTAAATACTCTGCAAAGGCGTGTTGGGTTTTTTCTACTATCTGGGGCTATAGCAGGGAGGGAGACAGGCAAAATTCTTACCTTCTGGACAGTCATTTTTTTAGTGAAAAAAACAAGAAACAATTTAGAGTTGATAATTACTATGGAGAAAAACTCAACGGCGAAGGGCATTGAAAGTTTTCTGTGTAAAGGTCTCTAAGAAGGTGACATTTGAGCAAAGACTAAGTAAGTAGGGGGTAAGCTATCTGGGAGAAGGGCGTCCCAGGCAGAGGGAACAGAAAATACAAAGGCTCTTGAGGACATGACTGAGGTAGTGTAATCCTTTGTGACTTATGCTACTAACCCGAAGACTGAGCACTTGTGGTTCAAATCCACCAGCAGCTCTGTAGAAGGAAGATGAACAACCTCCTCCTGTTACAATTTATAGCCTCAGAAACTCAAAGGAGGGTTGCTATGAGCAGTGAGCAAGTTTTGAAGTAAGGAGCTGTATGCCAGACTCTGTACAATTAACGTTTAATCTGTTAGTAACCTGCACTAAATCCATTTTCATAGAAGAAGCTGAGTGTCAAGAGGGAAACCCTTTGCATGAGGCCACACAACTGTTACTAAATGAATCTGAGTTGTGCAATGAAATCTGTGGTCAGGCTGGGCTTTTTCTCGGAGTCCCCAGCAGAAGTCTGTTCCGCTTGGAGACCAGAGGTTGGAACGTTAGGAGGAGACTGAGGACTTCTCAGTCCTGAAAGGCCTTCCTTGGAGGTCACCTGTACTGCCCTGGTAGGCCCAGGCACCTAGTTTCTGGAATGACCTCTGTCTACCTGGTTGGTGAGAACTGCCAGATTTTAGGGGGAAGACAGGTCAGAAGGAAGTGACTGAAAAGTGAGGTGAAGACTATCAGGCCTCGGTGGACCATCCTATCCTATTGCCATCAAGCGAATTCCAGCTCAGCAAACCTCTCGGACAGATAGAACTGCCCTATGGCATTTCCAAGCTGCAAATCTTTATAGAGACCGACTCTCACATCTCTCCACAGTGGCTGGCGGGTTTGAACCATGACCTTCTGGGTAGCAGCTGAGCGCTTAGCCACTGCATCACCAGGATTTGATCCAAAAGCCTTTACCGCCTGCACTCTTAGCAATCACCCCAACTGAATGGACACAGCGACTGAGAGGCTAGAGGACTTGCTTGAGGCCACACAAAGAGTGCCCTGGTCACCGAATCTTCTGGAAACCTCACTCTGGGTCTTTGACCCGCTCACAAAGGGAGTTCCTTCTTAAATGTTATGCTCTATCTAAGGATAGCCTCACTATCCTTGCCTTACAGGGAAAAAAAAATCGGTGTGAAAGGTACCCTGATTACTTTCCGTCCATACATACCAACTGCGGAGGCCTCTGGGGGAGGCGGGCACAGATATGGTTCTGTCTCCAAGATCTGCTAGTCTGATGGGTGGGACTGACACCAAATAGAAAATCACGGATCTTAGAGACAAGGACAAGGATGTAGGCAATGGGAGAGTTAACAGAGGAAGGAGGGTCCCTGGGACTGAGGAACGTGTGCGAGGGAAATCCAGGTGGGCTTCCCTGCGGAAGAAGCAATGCAGCTGGACCTCTAGGGCGAGGGAGTGTGAGAGCATCAGCAATGCCCCAGAGGAACAGCCCTCGAGCTGCATGCATCCTACTGTCCCATAAAAGAGCAGGGAGAACAGGGGAGGAGGGTCGGCCACGCCTTTCTGCCTTTAGGTGGCGCCCTCGACCCACAGCGCCGGCGTGCCCGAGGTTACTATCCCGACCTAAGGACCTCAAAGGGATCCGGGGTCCCACGTGGGGCATTAGGAGGGGGAGTCGAGGGGTGGCCTAGGCGCAGTAAAGGGTCCCCAGCAGGAAGAGTTGGGCGGGGGAGGCGGGCGACGGGGGAGGGGTCTTCTCCTCCGCCCCCCCGCCCCGCCCCTGCGCCCGCGGACCGTGTGCTCCACGCTCGGGTGTCCTGAATCCCGCGCCGGCAGGGCGGGCGGCCCGGGGGAGGATGGCGCGGGACTCCCCCACCCTCGGCCCCACGCGTCCCCGCTCGGCCCACCCCTCCCGGGGCTAACTCTCCGGGCGCCCTCGGCTGCCGCGGG